ATGTTCGCATCTTCGGAGACATCTATCTGTCTATCTATCTTCGGAGACATCTATCTGTCTCTATCTATCTTCAGAGACATCTATATCTATCTATCTATCTATCTATCTATCTATCTATCTTCAGAGACATCTATATCTATCTATCTTCAGAGACATCTATATCTATCTATCTTCAGAGACATCTATATCTATCTATCTATCTATCTATCTATCTATCTATCTATCTATCTTCAGAGACATCTATATCTATCTATCTTCAGAGACATCTATATCTATCTATCTATCTATCTATCTTCAGAGACAGCTATATCTATCTATCTATCTATCTTCAGAGACATCTATCTATCTATATCTTTAGAGACATCTAATCTCGTTCATGATATTCGTATCCATCTTCATACTACTCCCACTTTGTTCGTATCTGTTTATTATTTTAATATCTACCTCGCAGTCTTTTTTCTCTGGGTGTTTCTACTGGTTGTCTGTTGAATACCCACCGGTATTACATAAGATCCTCAGAAAGTGCTCCACAAAGCTGACCTTGTGACATACAATAAAAGGTAACTATATTCCAATTAGTTTCTACTTTAATCCGAAAGTGGGTATTAATCTAAGCAGATATTTACGTATTCTGAACAGTTTCTCTCTAATATTCCACAAATCATGATCAAATCACTATAAAATAATATTAATAAGAGAAGGACGTGTTGGTTGTGTAACGGTTATCGGCGCCGAAGTTGGAATCCGCGAACATAGTTCAAATTTCGCAATACTATATATATATATATATATATATATATATATATATATATATATGGTGGTCTCTTCTGTCGTATTCGACGTATGACTGCCAAGCAGCTCAGTTTCTCGGAACCGACAGCCCAGACACCAGCACATGATTTGATTATAATGGTGAAACCTTTGTACAGAACCAACTACACTTTAAAGAGCCGAATACAGAGATCTGTGTATGTTCCACAAGCTCTCTCTATATATATATATATATATATATATATATATATATATATATATATATATATAAACGATACCTACGGTTTCAAATGCAATTTAAAAATTAAAAATCTTTCTTGAAGCTTTGATTTTAGTTTAAATTGCAAACTAAGTGTAATTTAATATTTCGAATAAGTAAAATACTTTGCTACATTTAAAACCGAACTCAAATTGATTGAAACTATTTTTTTTCTTCAGTAAAATTGGCCACATTGGCAAATCTGTCAACACAACACAATTCTCTTATTAGAAAAATCTTTCAAAAATAAAATATAATCTTTTGGAACTTTAACCGATTCAAAGTTTAATTAGTCTGAATTAAAACAAATATTACTTGTTTAAAATAACGCAGAAAAACATTTTTGAACCGGAAGTGAGTGTTTTTCATGAAGTGTTGACTTATCTATCGATAACTTGATGTTTGGGAGATTTATGTAAGAGGAAAATAATTATAAAATTACATGTTGAATACAATGTAAACGCTTCTTCAGAATATTTTTTAACTAACCAGTAATCTTTAAAATTTGAAATATTTTAAATATTCTAATATTTTATTGCCTCTTAAGAATTGGCTTTATAGACTTACGTACGAAAACGCTTGTAAAGGAAATGTTAGAAAATTATCAATACTTTTTAAATTTACTATAGTTACCGCTCTTATTTTCTGATAAGGTCTTTTGTGGATGTTCGTATAGAAAAAAAATCGACACGTTTATACACATACACAAAATAAATCCAAATTATTTTTTAAAAATACTGATGGACGCTGAAATAGAGTAAGCTTTCCAATTATGATTAGTAAAAATAATTTTTATTTAATAAAGATATCAATTGAGCACGACAAATTAAATACAGAATTTTAAAAGATTTAAAAGTTCGCATATTATTCTAATTGAATTTTTTAAAAAATAACAATTCTTGCAAAAATTTATTATTCATAGATTTTTTTCTTAAGACAACAGTGTCCATTATATATTTTATTCACAAAAGCAATTACTTTATATTTTCTAATTAAATAAAACCTTAATTTTATTGCATTTTTTTATTTTACAATTCAGAGCAGACTTTTTTGTAACTGACAAAAAATTCAAGAATTTAATTCTCCTTGGACATGTTCTCATAATTATAGACATTAAGCGCTATGAAAACGAATTTGTCGAAATTGCATGAAATTAAATTAGTGAGGGGGGGTAATAAATGTAAAAATTATTTATAAAAAAAAAAAAAAATTCATTCATTTGTGAATAAGTCCTAGATGTTTAATTAAATGTGACAATTATCCGGCTTTTGCAAGAATTTCCAAATCAATGTGTTTTTCATCGCATAAAGACGCTCAAATTTCCAATACAAATTCATGGTATCACTTTGACGCCAGAGAAACAAGTTTCTTAACCAAAATTTATAAAAAGGTTGTAAACAAATTAAAGAAAATCCGTTGGTTTTTCCTTTTAATAAATATTTTGACGATAAAACATTTTATTAAGCTTTGTACATTTTTTTTTCATGATATACGTTCATTTTCCAAAAAATCTTTGGATACACCTATCTTTCTCTCTCTTATATATATATATATATATATATATATATATATATATATATATAAATATATATTAAACACTGATATTCCATGGTTATAATTTATTACATTGGAATCGTCCCAATGTAATAAATTATTACCATGGTTGATATTTTTCTTAATATCGGCTTGGGGAGGCGATCCTTTGTTTGAGAAATGCCTAAAGACCATATCACGAGTTGAACCCAGCCTTATGAGAGAAATTGAGTAGACTTTTCTCCCAGAAATTGTAACTAAGGTCTGCTCAGTATACTTGCAGTAAAAAAAAAAAAAAAAAACCAAAGAACACAGTTTGGCTCTGGGAATGTTGAACACGTATTCGAAACGATCGGACACCCATTATATATATATGTGTGTGTGTCTGTGTGTTTAAAATTTGCTATATTATAGAAAAGTGTCCAATATAGAGTGCTCGTTTGTATAATATGTAGATATAGAAATTAGGAATTAACAGTGAAATTAACACTGTATGGTGAATGGAATCTCAGTTTCACGCCTTAAACGATCTTCGGGCAGTGTCCACACCATGTATGTGCTTGTCTGTATACTATAATCTCAGCCTAGCCAGATGGAAATGACTATATTATAAATGGTCAATTTAGCGCCTCCTCTCGAATAAGTGCCCCCACTTTACCAAGGCGACAATACGAATATATTTCAGAAACGAAAGGGGGCGCTTATTTGGAACTGGGAGTTTAAAGATAAGAAGTTAATTTGATCAAAATATGCTGTCTTTAACATTTTTAAATAAGCGCCCCTGGCGCTAAATCGAGCATTTATGGTAGACCATGTTATATATAAAAACAGTTTGCTTTAAAATTGAAAGACTGCTTGTTTCCCCTGATCCATAAATGACTATGTCCAATCAACAAACATCGAAAATGTGTGAAGACTTATATATATATATATATATATATATATATATATATTATAAATTAATTGATTTAAAATATGTTTTTTTTCGCTACACAGTTCTAACCATGTTTCAAAAATGGAAGCTAAAAGCCACGAATTTAATTTTGTGATTAATATTAATGCTCTGTAAATTTACATTGAGCACTATTTTGTAAAAATAAAAATATCTATAAGAACACCGGATTATATATCTTGCTGTTCTTTCTTTTTATTTATACACACACACATATACATATATATATATTAGTACAGGGTTACTTGTATTCTGATTGATCATCATAGGTTACTGAGGGGGCCTGGTTAACCTTTGAACTCTTAAAACAGTTTATTTTCTTATTCAACATCATTACTTGACAAGACACCAGAAGTGTCAAAACTAAATTGCAACATTTGTAGTGATTTTATAACATGTATATGTTATAAATTTATATATATATATATATATATATATATATATATATATATAAGCCCGTACCATGCACATCATAATGATTGGCCAAAAAATAAAATTGTGCTCATGATGTACTCCACTGTATCAACATCTATCGGCTATTTCCACACACACACAAACTTTTAGTCCGTTGCAAAAGAGACATTTCCCTCAAAATGACGTCACACTCTAACATCTCTCTCTCTAAGTAGAATTTTCAACGCAGAAATGGGTTTGGCGTGCAGAGTTCAAATTCCAGCCTGGGGGTTACGCTCGCTTTCGCATATTCATGGAAAGAGGTAGATCCACCTTATTTACCTCAGAAAGGGGTTAATAACAGAGCAGGTTAGTCTCTCGCCCTTTTCTTTGGCAACCAGTCTAGAAGGATAGCCACTCCACATGGTAGAAACCTACATAAACCACAGTAGCAATGACTAGCAACATGAAACTATGCCTCTGCACTCAACAAGGGAGTCTAAATATCATATATACATATAGGATGTACCAAAAAGTACCTGGAATTATTGTGCGCGTGTGGCATTCCTATCAAAAATCAAATCAATCTGTAACTCAACATATATCACCAGGTTACTATATTGGATACTTCAGGATATTTCTTGGTACAATATGGGTTATTTGACAGTGTTTCAGCTCCTCTCCAAACAACTTGAATTGAACTCGTGACCTGTGTTATTAACCATTAATCCAAACGGACACGAATAGACATATCGGACTTTAGACAAACCAGAATAAAAGCGGATACATTATTAAATATTAAATTCGTATTGGCTGGCTGACAATATATATTATTTACATATTATATATGCGCGGTACTTATTGGAAAGCGCTCAATATCAGTGATAGAGCTAACATATTGTTTGTCTGACGGTCGCAAATAGCGTGAAAAACCCAAGGTCACAACAATGCAACTCATATAATATATATATATATATATATATATATATATATATATATATATATATATATATATAAAGGTATGTTTAGGCAGCAAGTATTCATCCAAACAAGTTTGATAAAAAAAAAAAAAACACAAAAATTAATTTTCAATTTTTCATATCTTTTTGAATAAGGTGTCGAGTAAATACATAAAATAAAAAAATAAATTGCATTCTTTTTGTGCGATTTCGTCCGTATTAATCGTCACTTTAGACCATTTCAAATCTCCAACTTTACAAACAATACCAGGATGTAGACAAAGGAATTCTGTCTACCACCACACAAGCAACAAATCGGTTCGTGATATTGACTGTGATAGTCGAAAGTACTTTAATAAAACAACGCCAAAATATGATATTTAGATAATTGTTAATAACAGAATAAAAAATGGGTTGAATATTCTCGGTTATATATATATATTTCTCCGAGAATAGTCAACCCCTTTTTTTATTCTGTTATTAACAATTATTATTGATGTATGTG